CCTTCGATTGGTATCGTCGCCTCAAGCCGGGGAGCATTAGCAGTTGGGATGACATGGAGGATATGTTTCTCACAAATTTCTTCGACGACGACACTGAGGTCTCGATCGGAACATTATTTGATGAGAAGCAAAAGGACGGAGAGTTGGTGGAGAATTTCATTAAACGATTCCGGAACAAAGCCATTAATTGTAGGGATCCGATCAGTGAGGACTTCATCCTGGAGACTTGTCACAACAACCTTTCATTGGATATTCTCAAAGCCATGGGAATAGCACCGTCGAAGACCTGGAAAGATTTGAAGTTCCGAGGGGAAAGAGCCGAACATTTCCTCAAAAGGAAAAAGGCCGAAAGAGGTCAAACGACGGCACTAGCCCCGCAACAGAATTTTGTTTCTAAGGGAAAAGGGAAAGCGCAAGTGAATGCAGTGGAAGCGAACCAAACATTCGAAGTGCAATCGTAACCACAACAGCAGCAGTCACGGTGGCAACAACAGCCTCAGAAACAGAAGACTTTGGAACCGAAATTCCCGAAGGTCTACTCATTCAAAGAAGATGAAGTCCCCGGTATTTTCAAATACCTCATAGAAAATAACAAGATTAAGTTGCCTCCGATCCAAGATCAGGAAGACGCCAAAAGGATTAATGATCCGAAATACTGTGCATTCCACAGAGCGGTGCACCACCCTACCAAGTCGTGTTACGCCCTAAAAGACAAGATCCAAGCTTTGATTGATGTTGGGGTCATCACTATGAAGCAACCTAAGGAAAAGAATGTGGGTGCAAATGCAATTTCAATCAGCTTTGGGTCTGTTCCTTTGAATTGGTTTGAGCCTGAGCCCGTGATAAATGTGGCAATGAAGACCGTCAATGACGATCCTCACAAACAACGTCAGAAAGGACTTGTGCCACACACAACCCCAAATGGCGAGATTCTATGGGTTCATCCCGATCTGATTGAAGATGAACAATGGGCCGGATCGTCATCCCAGAAGAAATCAAAAGGTAAAGGAAAATCCTGTTACGAAACCTCGATCGTTCCAGAGGAAGATGACGAAGCAATTCCTACTTTCTCATTTTCCGACAATGAACATGAAACTTTTGTAACCACCAGAGAGCCAGTCCTCGCCACCAGAAATGAGAATGAGTATCGGTTCAAATATCCAAGTGTCTCTGATCGACTAGCTGAGGTGGGGGTGATTACAACCCCCCCCCGCACCTTCTGAGAAGACCCCGCAGGAGCCCCTGCACCAAGATGTTCAAAACCCGAGGCAGTCTCATTTCAATTGGCCAATTGGAAGAGATAAACCGGAAAATTTAAACACTTCATACCACTTCGACGTTATGACCCAATTGGCTAACATCCCAGTGAAAGTAACTCTACACGAGTTATCACGTCTTTCTAAAAAAACTAGAGAGGCGTTCACAATCACTCTTGACCAGCTCACCCAAATAGTTCAAGAAGCATTAATCAAGCAGAAGGAAGAATTTGAGGCTGAGATGGAGTTGGCCATGTAACAAATAAGAGAGCTGCAGGCTCAAAAGTACAAATTTCCTAAATCCGAGCATCAGGCTACGTCTAGTTGTTACACTACACCAATCACGCCTATTCAAAATAGGACAAATGACAATAGTCCAAACCTGGACGTCTAGTTGTTACACTACACCAATCACGCCTATTCAAAATAGGACAAATGACAATAGTCCAAACCTGGATATAGTCATCAAGACTGATGTACTCCTCAATAGTCCAAACCTGGATATAGTCATCAAGACTGATGTACTCCTTGATAACACTGGGGGTGGTTCAATCTCACCTCTCAATAACACTGAGGGTGGCCCAATTCCTTCTTCTCGACATCGTCCGAAGAGAAATGAAGACGAAGATAAGAAGCAGAGGGAAGTCGAGTTTGTCACCACCTCCAGTAGATGCTATCCTAAAAGAAAAAAAAGTTGATGGAGGCCAACAAGAGGTCATACCCATGTTCGCTATTGATGTTAACCAAACAATACAACGACGACCGCGGGAGCGATCGCCACAACAGTCGCTTCAGATGCAACGATATGCTTTCAAGGATGATGAGGTTCCAGCCATCCTCAAATACCTCCTAAAAACAACAAAATTAAGATGCCACCTATTAAAAATCAGGAAGAAGCTAACAGGAGTTCAGACCCAAAATATTATGGGTACCACAGGAGGATTCTTCATTCCACTGAGGCTTGCAACGTTCTCAAAAATACAATACAGGCCTTAGTTGAAGCCGGCGTCTCGACGGCGGAACAAACCGAATGAGAACGATCGACGTACTCCAAAAAGTATACGAGTATAAACTGCTCCTTTCAAAACTCCAACAGGTATACGAGTATAAACTGTTTCCCTTGTATCAAACGGGAAGTTCCTGGAGAATATTATACATAGTATTCTTAAGGATAACCCGACATCAATAAAAGGGTTGAAAATAAGACATTGCTTATTGGACTCAGTTTCGCCAAAGAGCTAGGGTCGAATATCTCAAAAGTTTTCGGTGATTCTCAACTAACAGTCAACTGCGTTTATAGTAGAGATAACCTACTCAACGGCGTATATCGCCTTATTACTAAGGATGGCGATCGGCTTATGATGTCGATAAATGGCAAGCTCCTGAAAAAATACTACCCTTAGTATCTTCAGGATAACCAATGTATCGGGAAGTTCCCGAAAGAATACTACTTGTGGTATTCTTAGGGATAACTCAATCACTGTAAAGGTGATAAATAAGAGATCCACGTTCGAATTCTGAGCGTCAGGATGTTTCCTTTTATTGTTGTTAAGTTTTCTAACTCTCATGAGTTATTTTTGTTGAGACGAGATTCAATCCTTTTAACAGATTAATCTTTCCTCGCAAAATCCTCCACTGATCAAATTAATTGACGGTGGGTCCACCAAAATTTCTATCCGCCAGTCATTGGCAGTTCTCAGACTCAACATGTTAGGTCCTACCATGAACGAGAGGTCCACTTTCAAATTGAACGATCAAGCCTGTAAAAGGTAAGATCATCTCAAACCTCCCACTTTCACTGCTTCCTTGGTCAAACCTATAAAAGTTAGGGCCACAACCAGATTCTCCTCTCGATTCCTTTCATGAACGAGAGGTCCACTTTCAATTGAGCAATCAAACCTATAAAAGTTAGGATTGTCTCCAACTTTACTTAGTCAAACCTGCAGATAGTTAGGACTAAGATTGAGTTATCCTTTTCGATAAACGAAAGACTTCCATCTTTTCCTTTTTCCACCAAACCTATAAAAGTTAGGGTCGAAATTGGACTTTCTCCTCAATAAATGAGGGACTCTTTTTGGATCAAACGACCAATCCTATAAAAGTTAGGGTCGTTTGAATCTTTCCGATTCTCGGAGTGGAGATCCCACTCTTAGTTTCATCTTTTCGGATTCTGGGGGTGGAGATCCCACCTTGAGTTTCCTTTCCAACTGGAGATAGAATATAAAATTCTTCCTCTTCAGTCCAGGGAGATAGAATATAAAATTCCTCCTCTTCCATTTTCCAGTCCGTCTTTACTCTGAGAAAAGACACAATTCCCAACTTCCAATCCTTGCACTTTGTGCACGGGGAATTTTATCTCAACTCCTAAATAGAGATAAGCCTACGCCTAACACGCGTTGCCGGTTTAGTCTTTCACCGATAGAAAAAGACACCAGAGCATAATTCTGGGGATTTTTATCCCGAATCCTAAGTAGGGATGAGTCAACGCCTAATACGCGTTGCCGGACGCCATATTCCCGTAAGAAATGACGAAGTCTATGTATTCAAAATCATAGCATTAAGTCTAAGAGAAGCGATTCCCTTAGCACAACGTTACATGTGAGACGGGTTTTAATAATTCACATGCTAGCCCGATTCAAACGGTAATCGGTAAAGGCACGTCAAACCCGTTGAAGGCTGGGGGTTCACCAAAAATCCCAAAGTCTATGTCTAACACACATTGCCGGTTTAGTCTTTCACCGATTGAAAAAGACACCAGAGTCTAAACCTGGGGAATTTTATCCCGAAGCCTAAGAAGGGATAAGTCGTCGTCTAATACGTGATGCTGGGTACCTTTTCCCTATAAGAAACGGTTAAGCCTATGTATTCAAAGTCATAGCATCAAGTCTAAGAGAAGTAATTCTCTTAGCACAACGTTACATGCGGAACGGACTATAACAATCTGCATGCTAGCCCGATTCAAACGGTAATCGGTAAAGGTTCATCAAACCCGTTGATGGCTGGGGGTTTGCCAAAAATCCTACAAGTATTATGATTGGTTATTCTAGACGGAGTAAGATATCATAATAAAAAAAAGTATAATGAACAAAAAAATGTCTTCTATTCATAAAAATCAAGTTTGCAGGTACAAGAGTTACAATCAATCTACGTGAAGTTTGTGACTACGGATTTGCTGTTCAAGTTTCGTCAGTTCTTCTGTATAATTTCGCTCAAGCTCACGCTGCAATTCAACCTTGAAAGACTCCTCGGTGAGGGATAATGTCTTCGCGGCCTCTTCTTTGATCTCGGTTAACCTCCGTCTCGAGTGCTCTAATTTCCCGGATATCACAACCCAGGAACGCTCCAAGTCATCTTTCGCCATCCCCAAGATTCCCAGGGCCTCCTCTTCTGCCTTGAGCTCCTCTTTGAGTCGCTCTACCTTAGCTTCACCCGACGTAATAGAGGATTCGAGTTGACACAAAGATGTTTGTTTCTCAGCTAGAACGACCTCCATTTGATCCACGCGACTTTGTTGTTTTTGAATCTTAAGTCCAACAGAGACTCGAGTGTCGCGCCAGACTTGTAGACGAGATTCCATATGTTTGGCTATGTACGTCGAAATACCTACGGTCTTCAACTCTTGTAACCGTTGAAATTCGCGCTCTAGCCGGTCCAAATCGTCAGCAATAGCTTGTGCCAAGTGTGGCGATCCGATCTTCTCTATTAAGGCTAACCTGTGATCAATGACTAGCCTGAATTGACGGAAAGAGGTCCCACTGTGGAGGAGTTTGTCGATTCCCTTTGCGTATTAGCTGGGGAAGTTCTTCAGATGCGTCCGGAGCAAATTGGGGAATAGCCGGAATGAGCATAGGGTCGTTGGCAGAAGCATAAGCCTCGCCGGAGCGACCTTCCACCGCACTGGTGTTAATCGCCCTTGAAGGGAAGTCGACTAAAACAAATAATGTGCATTCACAAAATGTAATTATGAAGTTTTATGGTCATTTAGGCAGGCTTTGAACTCATCTCACGGAGCGGCGAGATAGAGTCACGATCCTGTAGTTGGTGAGACGATTTTAATGGTATCACGCGCGCGCGAGACAAAGTACGCTATCGCACAACAACACGACAAAATACCTCACCCCGCGCGATGCGATACAATGTAAAATCGCCCCAAGTTAAGTTAGGCGTGTTTTGGCCAAGCAAAACATGGCTGTGAAGCGGCCATACCCACGAAGGAGAATGGCGGCTCTTCTCGATTGCCTCACTAAGGAGAACAAAATGGGGATATCATGTATAATACATCCATGTGGGCTTCAAAAAAAAGAAGAAGAAGAAGAAAAAATGCTTGTTAATTTAAGCATGCTTTGACCAAGCGAAACACGGATATGAAGCGGCCACGCCCACGAAGGAGAATGACGGCTCTATACCGGTGAAGTCGCCCTAAATTAATTTTAAGTGTGTTTTGATCAAGCGAAACACGGATATGAAGCGGCCACGCCCACGAAGGAGAATGACGGCTCTATACCGGTGAAGTCACCCTAAATTAATTTTAAGTGTGTTTTGATCAAGCGAAACACGGATATGAAGCGGCCACGCCCACGAAGGAGAATGATGGCTCTATACCGGTGAAGTCACCCTAAATTAATTTTAAGTGTGTTTTGATCAAGCGAAACACGGATATGAAGCGGCCACGCCCACGAAGGAGAATGACGGCTCTATACCGGTGAAGTCGCCCTGAATTAATTTTAAGTGTGTTTAATCAAGCGAAACACGGATATGAAGCGGCCACACCCACGAAGGAGAATGACGGATCTATACCGGTGAAATCGCCCTAAATTAATTTTTAAGTGTGTTTGATCAAGCGAAACACGGATATGAAGCGGCCACGCCCACGAAGGAGGATGACGGCTATTTTAAGTGTGTTTGATCAAGCGAAACACGGATATGAAGCGGCCACGCCCACGAAGGAGGATGACGGCTCTATACCGGTGAAGTCGCCCTGAATTAATTTTAAGTGTGTTTGATCAAGCGAAACAAGGATATGAAGTGGCCACGTCCACGAAGGAGAATGACGACTCTATACCGATATGAAGCGGTCACGCCCACGAAGGAGGGTGACGGCTCTTCCCAATTGCCTCACCAAGGAGAACAAAGCGGGGATGCGAGATGCAATGTTAATGTTAAAGTCGTAAATAAGAGAAATGATAACGTTATACCAGTGCAACTGAAAGGTTCGGGCTCGGGTGACTGGGTAGCAGAACGACCCCTCGCGGTACGTGACTTCCTTGTCGCCATAGCTAACCTGCAACGAGAACCAACAATTCAATCATTCATAGGATTTGGGAAGTATAATGTTAAAAAGGGAATTTGTGAATCTTCGATTGAAGTTCTACAACGTAGAATTTTCTAGTTGAAGGTCTGATTAAACCTATACGACATCCCCCATTCATGTTAAAACGAGAGGAAAATCAAACGTAAAAGTTTGGTTTTGATTAAACCTATACGACATCCCCCATTCATGTTAAAACGAGAGGAAAATCAAACGTAAAAGTTTGGTTTTAAGGTCTACATGAGTTCAATCGTACACAAGAGTTCGACCACATACAAGTTTGGACTCAAGGCATACACGAGTTCAGTTACATATGAATTCGACAACACAAGAGCTTGGCTATATACAAGTTCGAGTTCAATCATATACATGAGTTCAATTATATACGAGTTCGAATTATATACAAAGTTCAAGCACATAAAAGAATTCGGCCATGAAAAGCTCGAAGACCTCAACAGAATTTTCAGCCATGTACAGGTTCGGTCAAGATTTCACAACCATGAACAGTAAGATTTTCTCGGCCATGTACAGTTAAGGGTTCAAACAAACCAAGAATTCGGCCATGCATATCACCGATGTAAACCTGGATGTTTCGGCTATAAACAGGTTCAACAAGAAATCAGTCGGCCAACCATCAATCCCAAGAACTCAACAAGATTTTTCGGCCATGAACAGTAAGATTTTCGGCCATGAACAGTAAAACAATTTCGGCCAATTTCTTAAATTCCATACCCAAATTCGGTTTTCTTCCAAGATTAAAGAGCTAGAGTTGAAATTATCAAGCCATGAACACAATCAATCAAGAAAATTCGGCCAACAATCAAACCCAATGCAAATTTCGGATTTCCCCCAAATTTGAAGAACTAGGGTTTTCAATCATTGAACCAAAGCATGAGGAACTAACTAAAATCAAAGCAAGGGACTTACCCAAGTTCTGAAGCTTGAAGAAGAAGAAAATCCCAAACCCTAGCTTGTGGGGAGATGAAGATTTCGGCCAAGGTCAGGGGTTCTTTTTTGAGGCTTTATCTTATCAAAGCTGATGGGTTTTAAGGAGGAAGACTTGGATCTTGTTTGGAGTCCTTGGTGTGGGGAAGTTCTTAGAGGTTTAGAACTCTTGGAGAAGGAGCAGCAGCCGAATTTTTGAAGAGGGGGGCGGAACTTTAGAAACCGGAAACAGAAAGAAAAGAAAGAAAGAGAAGGATCGGTCTTTGAGGGGAATTTTAAGAGCTTGAACCGGTTTGAACCGGACTGGTCTGAACCGGACGGGTCTAAACCGAACTTTAATTCAATTCAAACCAACTCAAATCAATTTGAACCGGACCGGGCCAATCCTAGCTTGTTGATTCGCATGCGTGTGAACCGCGAAATGTGGGTTCGCGCGTGTGGAAGGGTCCGGGGGTGATTCATATGCGTTTCGAACCTCTTTTCGGATATGTTTCGATATATTCGAGGCCCGTATTTATACTCCAATGAGAATACGAGTCTAAACTATTTCTCACAATTGACGGGAAGTTCCTGGAAAATATTATGTATAATATTCTTAAGGATAACCCGTCAACCTCCGACGGGTACACGAGGTTAAACTAATTCCCGAAACTCCCAGGAGTACACGAGTATAAACCGGTTCTCCTTATGTTAATGCGAAACCCTAAGGTCAACGCCGAATCAACGCGTAGCACTAGGTCAACGCCGGTCAACGCGTTGCGATGAGAGTCAACGCTGATCGATTCGAAACCCTAAGGTCAACGCCGGATCAATGCGTAGCCCTAGGTCAACGCCGGTCAACGCGTTGCGATGAGAGTCAACGTTGATCGATTCGAAACCCTAAGGTCAACGTCGGATCAACGCGTAGCCCTAGGTCAACGCCGGTCAACGCGTTGCGATGCAGATAGTTAATCCAAAAGTCAACTCAGCGAGACGAGCCAAAATTAACTCACCAAGTTCCGATTCGAGACTTCGGCAACGGTCAGACAATAAACGCAGCACCGGAAGTATTTTAACTGTTCGATAAAACACTGAACAGACTGAAATGTGAAGAAGTCAAGAACCGAAATTGGTTATAGGTCCTTTAATACCGACTGAAGGTGTAGGCCTATCACGTCCAAAGTATTTCAGACTCTTCTATAAAGGAATGAGGCTGAAACACTTTGGAGGGGGTATCTGTAGGCGTCCAAAAATGCCTATAAGCTCCCGTATACGGCTCGAGAAGAAGAGGAGGTGATAAACTTCAGCATTCAAAAAGAGAAGATTCACCAAGTGGCCCGATCAATGTCAAACCACCAAATGGTGGCTCGGCCAATGTCAAACCACCAAATGGTGGCTCGGCCATTGTCAAACCACCAAATGGTGGCTCGGCCAATGTCAAACCACCATTTGGTGGCTCGGCCAATGTCAAACCACCAAATAGTGGCTCGGCCAATGTCAAACCACCAAATGGTGGCTCGGCCAATGTCAAACCACCAAATGGTGGCTCGGCCAAGTTCAAACCACCAAATGGTGGCTCGACCAAGTTCAAACCACCAAATGGTGGTTCGGCCAATGTCAAACCACCAAATGGTGGCTCGGCCAAGTTCAAACCACCAAATGGTGGCTCGGCCAAGTTCAAACCACCAATTGGTGGCTCGGCCAAGTTCAAACCACCAAATGGTGGCTCGGCCAAGTTCAAACCACCATTTGGTGGCTTGGCCAAGGCCGAGCCACTTCGGTGAATCGGCCAGAATTAGTTTTTTTTGGTTCTTTTATGGATTCTTTCGGGATTTGAGGTTCCAACTGCTCTGATATTGTTGTTAGACAGTTGTTAACTGAAGATAGAGGGAATCCCTCGTTTTGATCCAAGAAAATCACCAACCAAGCCTATAAATAAGAGCCCTAGTGTTCATTTTTGAAGGATCTGGAAATCAAGAGGACGAAGTGCTGTCAAATTAGAGATTGGAGCACGAATTTCAGAGAGTTAGCAGATCTTGGCGGAGTTCTTCAACAAAGCAAGAGTTCGAGAGATCTGAGACTTATTCCACCCTCCTCCGGATTTAAGCTTAGTCTTAAATCCCGAGAAGAGCCGTGATTTTGCTTAGTCAAAATCGCCGCTACTGCAATCACTTCCTTCGTGAAGCGAAAGCATTAATTATCCAAACTTCTGCTCACCGGATCTGATCCGTAGGCGGTCCACGGATAAACCCCGGCACCGGCAACGATCCCGCACAAGCAATATGCGATAAACTTCTATTGTGTGTAGTTTGAGAGAAAATTGTAACTTTTGATTTAAAGTCTTATAAAAAGGCTATATTTTGTTGTTTGAGTTTATTGTAAGTGTTTGAAGCTGTAATGGACTCATCAATGAAATCAGTTTTCCACCCAAACAATGATATTGCATTAAATGAAGCTTAACCAAATGTTGCTTAGAGGATTTATTCAATCCTCTAACATTCTAGAAGGACAAATTCATAATTTTATCACCCCCCTCTATCAACAGTAGAGGGATCATTTTCCATGCTATTTAGATGTGCAAATGAATTTCCAGGAGTTGAATTCTTCCTTACTCTACTATTTTGTACTTGTAACCAGGAGTTACCATCTTGTAAGGAGCCCTTGCAGCTAGCAATATTCCCAGTGTTTCTAGTACATTGATTCTGGACATGCACAATAAGCACAGAACTATTACCTATTGAATTACTGCCGGTACCAGTTGCCAGTTTGTTCATATTCATTGCTTCAATCTCTTTTAACTGCATATCCTCATTTACAGGCTGATGAACATGAACCACATGCACATGCATGTGCGCAAATATTTTGTTAGCATTTCCAGAGATCAAACTCTAGTTCGATCCGTGGCATGGATACACTTTCACATGTAAATTTTACAGACAACTCTGATCAGAAGTTCTAGAATCACCAAGTATAGTAATTCCTTCTTGATTGCTCTGACTTTCTGTAATACTGTTCAGTTCAACATGGTTTGTAACTGATTTTTGTTTTGGTACCCATCTTTGAATCCTGGGAAATCTTTTACAAAATTTTGTATCATGTCCCACTTGCTTACAACTTTCACACCATTTGGGCTTCAGTTCATAGATCACCTTTTGATTAAAGATCTTACCATTAGGGCCTTGTATGGAAATTTGATCCGGGAGAGGGGAAGACATGTGAACTTCAACAAGAACCCTAGTATATGCCAATCTTTGCTTATTTGCTATGACCTTGTCAGTGGCAATTGGGCGGCCAATTAGACTAGCAATTTTACTGATGCCTTTAGAATTTTATAAATTGAGTCTTAATGCTGGAAGTTGAATCCACATTAGGTAAATACAATCATTTATCTTATCAATGTCTTCCTCATTGGACCATGCCTTCAACAGAAGAGGTCTTGAACTAAAGAACCAAGGACCATTAACCAGAATATCATTCATTTCTACCTTATTTTTGAATTTAAACAAAAATACCCCTGGCTTTAGGAGACAAACCTCAGGAATAACCCAATGAGTCCAAACTTTTTGCACAAAATTTTCCATGGGTTTAAATTTGATATTCAAACCCAAAACTTATCCAATTAAAGAAAACTACCATATGTAATTACCTTCATTCCACTCCTCATTAAAAGTCACAACATCTTTAGCTTCAGATGACACATAATTCATATTCATGCCACTTCCAGATTTCCTATTATCTGCAAAAAGAATAGCCCAACTTTTCCTAGCTATGTTATCAGGAGCAGAATTTTGATTAGCATTCATGGACTCCATAAGAGGGACATTAGAATTTTCAACATTTGATTTCACAGATTGTGATACCAAATTTCCAGAATTGATACTATCAACGTTCCTCTCAACAGAATTCAATGGAATAGTAACATAATCATGAACAGATCTAGGATTCAATGGAATAGTATCAAGATTTCTTGTCGAATTCAACAAGTGCTGATGTGATAGATCAACATCAAATTCATCCTTATCAGCCCAAGAAACCCTAACAGAGCTACCAACATTAGATTGAGGACACTGAGACTTACTGAGGTGACAAGTTTGAACTTCGATCATTCAAGGAGAGATTAGAGCTTGATAGGGATCTGAAAGAGAATTTGCAGCACTCAATATATCCGCCATTGGCATCTTTTCCTTCTCACCTTTGGGACCCGTTGACCTTATTACATCCGAGATGAATCCTTCATCACCTTCAACAAATCCAATATCAGAATGATCCTCCGGAGGAATCAAACTCGAATTTAAAGCTCTTAATCCAATTTCTAAGATTTTCTTTCCATTATTTCTTTTTTTTGCCATCTCAAACTCGGCAGGGGTGCACGCTAGCAGCACAAAATCACATGCTAACTTACGCCATTAGGACCACCACAAAAAAGACAGATAGAACGAATGAGTTCACCTAATGCGAATGAGTTGGTTATTTTGTCCTACGTAGTATAGCAGTCATAGCTATAATGATGAAAAGAATTATTTAGATTATGAAGATTGAAAAAAGCTTTTAATTGAAAAAATTAAAGTATGTTTTAGAATTTACAAACAAGTTTGACTGTGGATGTAATATACAAAATCTTGAGGAGTTTATATGATTTATTGAAAACTTTCATTTTTGATACAATTGTAAGAAACCTAGCGGAGGGATTTGTAATTTTCTCATCATTAAAATCCTATACAAATTATAATTCTTATAACATTCATCTATAAAGTTTCTAGGGGATAGTTTGTTAATTCAAAAAGTTTTAGTTTTTTTTTAATTTATGAAATTCCAATCTTTTTTTTATTTTGCAAAATTTAGGATTTATTACATAAAATTGTGAAAATTCAAGGTTGATTCTACAATTTTAATTTTTGTTGAGCAGTTTTTTGCAAGTTGTTGGTGTTTTCATAAAGTCAATGATTATATTATAGAAAATAACTTTTTTAAGATGTGTGTTTGGTTTTTCTGCAAATTTTGTAAGGTCTTGGTTAGTTTTGCAAAATCTACAACCTGTGTTTAGTTTTTTGTGAGTTCAATGAACTTTTCTGTTAAAAAATACAATTTATTGAAGTCTTTAGAGTTCTTTGAATTTTGTAATCTCTGTGGACTTTTCTTCATAAATTTGCAAAATTTAGAATACTTTTG